TTAAAATCAAAATTTTCTGGCAAATTAGGATGGTAGTTGGGTGTAAATGTTTGCTTTCAAGAGAAGAATCACAAGAGGAGAAGATCTTTTTCAACTAAATACTCATTTAGTACAACTACTGAATCCACTATCTGATGTGCTGATTTTGGGAACATAATGTGATAAACAAATACCTTACTTTTATTATCTGGACTTTAATAAATTAAATAGTTTCCATCCAGTCTTTTATAAGTAGTCTAATTCACTAAGTAAATCAATAGACTAGTCAATTACCCTGGCCTTCATTAAATCAGATGTGTTTTATTTTACAAGTCAAATAACGTATGACAGTTGGGTTATTAGAAGGTAAATGCCATTTTAAGTTGTATATGCATTCTGTACACACTATTTTGGTGATTATATTTGAAGATACCAGCTAAACTTGACAATATTTAGTACACAATGTGCAGTTTAGCTCATAAACTAATCATTAAAGGCAAAGCTAATTATGTGATCTTTTCATTTATCTAAACCCGTGGTCTCCAACCTGGTGCCCACAGGCGCCATGGCGCCAGCCGGGCCCTTTACATGCGCCCGCGGAGCAACCTGGGCTGGCCCCGCCCCCGGGTGTGCGGCAGGTGCCAGCCCCGGGCGCATGGCCGGCCCCGGCCCTGGGTGCGCCGCGCGTGCCCTGGCCCTGGGAGGTCTACAAATGCCTTTGATGTCGACCCCCGCGCGTCCAGACTACCACGCTGAGCCGACAAACAGCTGATAGGCTCAGCGCGGCAGCCATTTAAATTTAAATAAAGCAGCGATTATTTAAATCGCCGCTTCATTTTCCTAAGCTAGGTAGCCTAATCTACATGCCTCTGTCGCCAGAGGCATGTAGTCTAGACGTACCCATAGTGAGATGAGTTTTCTGTCCCTTGAGGAGGTAGGCAAAGGTAAAGAGCCCGAGACACGACTGTAAAGGGGAGCCCCTTTGGAGAGATACGTCTTCTGTCTCCCTCAGTATCTAGAGCAAACTGGCCCAGAGACAAAGGAGGGAAAACCCCAAAATTCCTTTGTCTCGGTTTGAAAATCCCTATCTGCATTTCTATTGGCTGACTGCTACCTGGCTAGGAACAGTTAGCTCCTTAGTCCCCAGGCTGCTGGCCATCTCTCATGACCATGACAGAAGGTCCCTGCACATCTGTGTTCCCCTGAGGGAGAGGGAGGGGAAACAGTAGTGCGGAACAGCTTCTAGCTGCGCTGCTGTTTCTGGGACATTTTCAGTGTTTATGGGGGCACTGGGACAGGAAATTGAAATTCGGGACTGTCCTGAATTTTCTGTATTGTGTAGTCAGCGTAGCCATGTGAGACATCCTGTCTCACAGTAGAAAAGACTCCACGCGGAAATGTTACCTTACTAAATGGAAACATTTCTCATCTTGGATGCAACAGAGAAGCATCCTACCAGAGACTAAGGCAGTTTTTGCTAATCTTAACTGTATTCTGTCTTTAAAGACAGAAGATCTGTCTATCAGCTCCTCGTGAGTACACTTAGTGGCGGTCAGTTCATAACATCCCATCTGCTCAGGGCTACTTAATTTTCTAACACCCACCAACTAACCAATAGATTTTGGAAAGACTTAATAAGAACTCTCCTGCCTACTCAGAAGGTCCCTCCCCATTGGGACCTGAATCTCATTCTCAGAGAGCTTTTCCTACTTGTTCAGTGAACCTCTCTTCCATGAAAGTCACCTTTCTTGTAGCTGTCACATCAGCAAGGAGTGGTATAATGGGGTTTGCACCTCTCACAAACAT